TCGTCCAAGTCGGTATTAATGAGCTCAAACCCAGCCTTCGGGTAAGCGTGGTATCCACGTATGGGCCTGCCAAAATTTTTTTCGGATAGGCTGCTGACTTGGTAACCAGAATTGCTGGGAGGTTGAAATCTTAAGGGGATGTTCCCCGTCCAAGTAGGTATTAATGAGCTCAAACCCAGCCCCCGGGTAAGCGGGGTGCTCGCGTCCGAGCCCTCCAAAATCTTTCACGGGTAAGTTGATAACTCGCGAACCAGAAAAGCTAAAAAACTGAAATTTTAAGATGTTCCCCGTCCAAGTGAGTATTAATGAGCTCAAACCCAGCCCGCGGGTATTCGTGGCACCTACGTACGGGCCCGTGAAATTTTTTTTGGGTAAGTTGCTAACTCGGGAGCCTGAAAAGCTGGAAGACTGGAGTTTTGAGGGGATGTTTTTGACAGTCCTGGCGACTAGTCTGAAATTCTTTAAGCTAGGAGCATCTGCCGGAAAAACCAGTGCCGTTAGGGACAAAAGTCTGCGGAGAGCTATGCAGAAAAACGCATCTTCGCACGGGCAGCCCGTACGTTTGCCATTTATTTTTTTCTGAGAGTGGTTAATGCAGGATTTGGAAATATATTTTAAACTGCTCAGTTTGCAGCAGTCGCTGAAACAAATAGCGGCGTGCATCGGTGACCGTGATAGCAACGTACGCAGTGCGGCAATCAATGCTGTACTTGTGGCGTGGAGGAACGAAGGCGATCGTGTTTTTCAGCTCATTGGTAATATGAGTGACAAGAATAAGGCTTTGCTGAACGAACGTATCAAAAGAAGTTCGAAAGTACAAGGTTCATTTGCGTAATTCAAAAAGTTTGTGCAGAAAGCGAAGATTGATCTCGCTACCCGGCTACTGCTGTCTCTTTCATTCAGGTAACGTGGAAAAGCATGGCAATTCAAACAAACGCAGTGCGTCTGTTGCATTCGGCATTAAAGGTGGGTCTGCTATTTTTGCAACGAGCGTACTTTTACAAACTCCTGTATATTTTCTCTTCGGTTGTTTAGGGAAAGGAGTAAGAGCTAATCGGTCATCAAGTGCAACACGCACGCACCGTAAGACAAGCCAGAGCATCTCTCGTGATTCCAGTCCCGTCGAAGAAAAGGAGAGTAACCGTACATTCACTGTACAGGTGGGCATCATTAATTACATTCTCGTGCATCCGTAATTCCAAGTGAATAGCCACTCCGGAAGGACCGAAGTGGGGCAGTGTCATCGCATAAATATGGCAGTGACAATACGCTTTCAATATTCGCCCTCTGCAGTTGTTTTAGATGACACTGTGGCTCACTTAGTTTATTGCTGTGCAAGTAACTTGTGCAACAAATGGAGCTGTAATGTCCTACGGCTG